ATTTTTGTATGGGAAAAAATTTAAAAATCACATGATCTAGGATCAAATTGACAAAAGCAACTCGAAAGATTAGATAGAAACCTTAGAGAGCAGTGAGTTTATATTAATGGAGGAAGAATAACTCAGAAAAGGAGGGTGAGAATGGTTACACAACTCAAAGAATGTAATCATGTCACTGAATTGTACATGTAGAAATTGTTGAATTGGTGTAGGTTTTGCTGTGTATATTCTCAAAAACAAAATAAATAAAATTTTAAAAATAAAGAAAAGAATACGATCAAATATGTATATACAAAAGTTTCAAAGCAGTGGCATAATAACAAAAACCACTAAACCGCCAAAAGCTGACAGTTGGCTCATACTTTTCAAGCTGTGCTCAGTAGAGTCCTAGAGTTAAACAGAGGGACAACCAGCAGGATCAGAAGCAGATCAAGTCAGTAGAACCCTGAATTCTATATTTCCAATTCAAATAATTCTGCTTTTGTCTATTTTATACATTAGGTTCTAATTAAGATTCACATTTTCTTGTAATTGTCGGTCTACCCTGACTAGAATTCAAGATCCATGAAGAATCTATCCATGAGTAACATGCTCACAGATTTCCAAAACCTAGCACAGTATTTGGCTCATACCAAAACCACTCATTGTTGTTGAGTTAATTATGACTCATAGCAACCTTAAGGACAGAGCAGAACTGCCCCATAGGATTTCTAAGGCTGCAAATCTTTACAGAAGCTGACTGTCACATATTTCTCCCACAGAATGTCTGGTGGGTTCAAACCAATGACCTTTTGGTTAGCAACCAAGTGCTTCAACACTGTGCCACCAGGGATCCAATCAGCTCATCCAAATAAAAATTCGTTACCGTCGAGTCGATTACGACTCATAGCGACCCTACAGTTCATAGTAGGTGTTTAATATATAAGTGATGCTTGTTGTGGATTTAACTATTTTTTTCCTGATTAAAAACAAGTTTGAAAGTTATTATAATTAAGAAATTGAATAAATACCAAATCAAAAACCAAACCCATTGCCACTGGGTCAATTCCAACTCAAAGCAACCCTATAGGACAGAGCAGAATTGCCCCACAGGGTTTCCAAGGAGTGGCTGGTGGATTCAAACTGCTGACCTTTTGGTCAGCAGCAACCTCTTAACCACTGCATCAGCAGGGCTCCTGAATAAATACCAAAACTAAAAAAAACAAACTCACTGTCACCGAGTCAACTCCAACGACCAGGTGTTGGCAAATTATGGCTTGTAGGCTACATCTGGCCTACTGCCTGTTTTTGTAAATAAAGTTTTATTGGAGCAAAGCCAGTCAATTACATAGTGTCTATGGCTACTTTCCTGCTGCAGTGGCAGAGTTGATTTGAGTACTTGTGACAGACTATATGGCCCGTGAAGCTGAAAATATTTACTAACTGGTCCTAAACCGAAAAAGTTTGCTGACCCCTGCTCCATACAATACAACTACACAGCCATAAAAATAATGAAGCAAAGAACATTCATTAACACATGAAAATGTTTGTGATGTGATGTTAAATGTGAAAAAAGGATTAAAAAACAAAAGTACAATGGTAAGCGCTGGTGAGAATGTGGAGCAACAGAAGAGTCCTATACCACTGATGAAAGTAGAAATTGTTACAACTACTTTGGAAAGCAGTTTGGCATTATCTACTAAAATTGTAGGTATATATGTCCCCTGATGCAGAAACTCCTAGCATTTACCCAATAAAAATGAGTGCACATTGCACTAAAAGATACATTAAAAGAATGTTCATGGCAGCATTATTCACAACACACCTAAACTGGAAACAACCCAAACATCCACCAAAAGTAGAGTGAATAAACTGTAGTATATTCATACAATGGAAAACAATCCTCAGTAAAAATGCATAAATTACTTCTACTCACAAGGATAAATCTCACGAACATATTGTTAAGCAAAAGAAATGGACACAGAATATATTCTATATCTTAAATTCATATAAAGCCCAATCATAGGCAAAATTAATTTATATTAGATGCATTTAACTATGGAAAGGAGAGAGAGGAGATAGAAATTGGTAGGGTGCATCTGAGGGACTTCTGAGGGGTTGGTAACATTTTATTACTTAATCTGGCTGATGGTTACATCACCATGTTCACTTACAGATAATTCATTGATCTGTGTATTTTTCAGTTTATATGACATACATCAATAAAAATGCTTTAAAGAATAAAAAGACTAACTTTTAAAAATCACATGAATTAAGAAATCAAAACATCAAAAGACCAATAATCCAGGAATAAAATCAGAAAGTCGTCTAAAAATGGCCTCAAAATCAGTTCCCAAAAGTAGACATTTGTTTTAAAGGTTATTCTTGCAAAACTGCCAGAGAACACAAATCAAACCTACAATGTTCCACTATTTAAAATACTCGTAAATGATATTAAGATCAAAGATTGCACTCAGAAATTTACTCTCTCAAATAGACAATGTTGTAAATAAAATGCCAATATATAGACTTCAACTGCATGATTGGATATTAGCCACCACAACCAAGCTGGGTCTATCACAGGACAAGTGTAATCTTGGGAAATCTAATTTATCACATAATTAGGCAAAATAAGAAAAATTACATGGCCCACAAAGTCTGTAACAGTATTCAAAAAAATTTAGCACGCCCACATGCACACATGCCCCATCCCTCTGGACCCAATAAGGAGCTCCTAGAGTCATTATGCATAGGAATAGACTCAACAGCACACAAAAACAGCAGCAGCACGCGAACAACACAACCCCAAAAACATGATTTGGGACTAAATAATTGTCTCTCTCAGGGTGGCTAGATTTATAGCATGTAAATTCAGAACTGATTTATATTATGGCAGTGGTTCTCAACAGGGGTGACTTGGCCCCTGCAGGGTTTCTCTTTTTATATGGCCTTTCCGGCCATAGTTTTGTTAATTCTCAGAAAATGACTGGCTGGGACCATGCAAATAAAGTATAAAACCCTTGCAGGGATTGGTCAATTATTATGTAAACAAACTGACTGTGGCCTATCTAGGGGATTGGTTAGTTCATGGTCGTGCTGTGGGGTGAAGGGGGACACGCCTTGAAATTGATAAGGAGCTTGCTATACAAGCAGCTTACTTGACAGAGGTTTTACGAGAGAGAGACAGAAGAAGCTGTAACACCAAAGACAGCAAGAAACATCATGAGACAGTGAAAAGCAGCTTCGAGAAGCAGCCAAGGGACGGCAGAGCCCAGGGACAGCAGAGCCCAGGGATGGCAGAGCCCAGCTGCAGCAGGCCCGAACGAAGGGCCTGGTGGCAATAGAAGCTGAGAGCAATCTTGGTTGGAAGCTGTCCTAAGTGTACCCTGTCTCCTGAGTTGTTCCTGTTACTTCCAAGTTGATTCTGACTCCCTCCGAGTTGTAGCCTGTTACTTCCCTAATAAACCACTTAACTGTAACCACAGATCATGGGTTCTCTGAGACGTTGCAGCAAATTACTGAACCCAAAGACAGGAGGAAGAGTACCCAGGGAATGGGCAATAGTTGGTGTTAGAGATAATGGGGTGGTACAGCAGCCTGGAGAAGTTGGACATTTGGGTAAGGACATTCCTCCCTTACAGGAACCAGCTTTGTGCTGATTCTTATTCAAGAAATCATTCATTTAGCCCCACAAGGGACATTTGGCAATGTCTAGAGACATTTTTGGTTGTCACAGCTGGGAGGGTGCTACTGCCATCTGGCAGGTAAAGACTAAGAATGTTGCTAAGCATCCTACAAAGCACAGGACAACCCCTTACAACAAAGAATTATCTAGCTCAAAATAGCAATACAATACTGTGAAGGTTGAGAAACCCTACTTAGCTGTTGTTAGTTGCCATCCAATTGGCTCCAACTCATGGTAAACTTATACAGCAGAATGAAACTTTGCCCAGTCCTGCTCCATCTTCATGATCACTGGTATGTTTGAGTTCATTGTTTCGGCCATTATGTATTATGTCACTTCATCTCACAAGGGTTTCCCTCATTTTCACTAGCCTTCTACTTTACCAAACATGATGTTGTTTTCTAACGATTGGTCTTTCCTAATGACATGTCCAAAGCAACCAAGTCAAAGTCTCACCATTCTTTCTTCTAAGGTCGTATTTCTTCTCAACTGATTTGTTAGTTCTTTTGGCAGTCCATGGTATATTCAATATTTTTTGCCAACACCACAGTTCGAATGCACCAATTCTTCTGTCTTCCTTTTTCATTATCTAACTTTTGCATGCTGTTATGGATTGAATTGTGTCCACCCAAAATATGTGTCAACTTGGCTAGGCTGTGATTCCCAGTATTGTGCTACTGTCCACCATTTTGTCATCTGATGTGATTTTCCTATGTGTTGTAAATCCAACCTCTACAATGTTAATGGGAGCCCTGGTGGTGTGGCAGTTAAGAGTTACAGCTGCTTACCAAAAGGTCAGCAGTTCGAACCCACCAGCTGCTCCTTGGAAACCATATGGGGCAATTCTACTCTGTCCTATAGGGTTGCAATGAGTAGGAATCGACTCAATGGCAACGAGTGTGATGTTAAAGAAGCAAGATTAGACGTAGTAATGTTAATGAGGCAGGACTTAATCTCTAAGATTAGGTTGTGTTTTAAGTCAATCTCTTTTGAGATATAAAAGAGAAAAGCAAGCAGAGAAACGGGGACTTTATACCACCAAGAAAGCAGCTCCAGGAGCAGAGCACATCCTTTGAACCTGGGGTCCCTGCACTGAGAAGCTCCTAGACCAGGGAAGATCGATGACAAGGATCTTCCTCCAGAGCCAACAGAGAGAGAAAGCCTTCCCCTAGAGCTGGAACCCTGAATTCGGACTTCTACCCTCCTAGACTGTGAGAGAGTAAACTTCTCTTTGTTAAAGCCATTCCCTTGTGGTATTTCTGTTACAGCAGCACTAGATAACTAAGACACATACATATGAGGTGACTGAAAAGACCATGACATGGGTCAGACTCACCTTAAGTCATCAAAGTAACATCTTTGCTTTTTAAAACTTTAAAGAGGTCTTTTGCAGATTTACCCAATGCAATATGTCATTTGATTTCCTGTCTGCTGCTTCTACACAGTAAACCCTTGTACTGTTCAAGTGACTGTCTCTTGATCCATGTACAGGTTCAGCATAGCACAATTAAGTGTTCCGGAATTCCCATTCTTCACAATGTTACCCAAAATTTGTTATGACCCACACATAAAAGAAAACAAATAAAATAGTAATCAAAATTTCAAAGTAAACTGGAAACTTGAAATATTGGCAGCAAACAAGAAGACAAAGAAGTAAAAGCATTCATAAGAACCAAAAAGAAAAACATGATAACCTAGATCTAAAAACAGGTAAAAGAAAAGTGAAGTGTTTAAAATCAAAGTACTGTACAGTCACTCTAAGAACTTACTGTTCAAAAAAACAGGAAAAAAATTGGCTTAACAACTTGGCTGCAGGTGGGGGATGTGGTGGGGCATTGTTTAATGAGTTCACCAGTTGTTAAATATTGTTTTAAAAAAATCATTATTTTTTAAAAACAAGAACTAAAAATTAAGCTTAAAAATCTTAGAATCCACAAAATTCTTAAAATATTATGTACAAAAATGTATGATGACAATATTATCAAAGTTATCATAGTAAAAACATGGATGCAATCCAGATATCCAACAAGTAGGGAAATCAGTTCTGACAACTGAAATAAATCCAGTTAGTTGAATATTACACAGCCATTAAAACTTATTTCTGAAGAATCTGCATTAACAATGAAAAATACTTATTACAGTCAATGAAAACAGAAAAAATGATACTGTACAGTACTACTTTTTTCATAAATATGTAGAGAACAACAGCATGAAATACAACAAAATGTACTGTAATCAAAAGATTTACACCTCCTGGGTGCTATAAATACTAATGTTTTTATTCTTTTTCTACTGTTCTGACCTGATAAGCACATATGCTTTTGAAAATTAAAAAATCACTTCGTGAAAAAATAATATACGCAATTTATACATAAATTTCAAACAAGTATGAGTTGTATGTGCAGTCACCAGGGAAAGTTTACTTTGGTTTTGGTCAATACTATATAGATAATAAATATCACAACGGTATCTAACTGGGTCAGTCAAATTAATCTTATTCTGTACTACACCACTGGTGGCGTTATACCATGAAGCATTATTATAGCAAATGATAAAATTAGAAAATTATACAAAAATTAAAAGAAACATATTGCACTGTAAGATAAAAAATGATTATAAGCTTTACTGCCAAGGAAACAGTAATATGATGGAAAGGCTTTAATGTTTCTACCTCTTTCTATTTCCTATTTAAAAAGATAAAAATAATTTTTACTTTTTATTTCCAGGCTTAAATATTTATTTTTTACCATATAAAAATCTTTACCATAAACTTTTTATTTCCAGGACTAAATAGTTATTCTTTATCATAAATGGAGATGCACAAATTTCAGTAGCACTGCTGAGGTCTTTAACCAATGACATTTCATTATTAGGTCCTGTAAGGTTATGCTAGAGCCATTAATCAAAACATTAATAAAAAAAATAGTATGTATAATAGTGTCCTCCCTAATGTCCTTTTACCTACATTAGAATTTCTGTCATTTATTTCCTCAAGCTTGTTAAATATAGAATTGATAAGCAGCATTTATTAAATGCTGTTCAACAGAGATAAGTAAATCTGGTCAGTTCACTCTTAAGATAATGAACAAAACAAAATTTAAGATAGTGAACAAATCACACAAACAACTCATCCTTCTTCCCCTTTGTCTCTAAAACAGAGTGCAAAGGTTTGCAGCACCATATATATACTCTTACCATATATCCAAAGGGAAAAGAGAAAGAAATTTGATACAGTATAAAAGCAAAATTTTAAATAGTATTACATTCCAAAGCCCCACTGGTGCAGTGGTTAAGTGCTCAGCTGCTAACAGAGGGTCAGCAGTTCAAACCCACTAGCTGGTCCACGGGAGAAAGATATGGCAGTCTACTTCCATAAAGATTACAGCCTTGGAAACCCGATGAGGCAGTTATACTCTGTCCTATAGATAGGGTCAATACGCGTCAGAATCGACTTGATGGCAACAGGTTTAATATTACTAAATCAGATCAACAGGTGACAGGTATCAAGGTTTAAAAAGCAACAAAAAGAAAATATTTTAATCTCATTTTGTACCTGTGGTTAATGCTTCCTCCCAAAATTAATCCTAAAAGCACACAAAATCCATCTAAAGAGCAAACAAGTTGGAAAATTCAATTAAATGTTACTCACTCTGATTTTTATTTCCACTATTAACTCTGAAAAAACACTAGAAATTATTTTTAAGCATGATTCAAGTAAGACCAAAAGAAATGGGTGTTCATAAGGTTTTACAGAACTCTCCCCAAAAATCCTATGATATCCTACTGGATAAGTAAGTAAAGGCCCAATGTATAACACAGCTAAACGTTATTAAAAATCTCTTAAAGTAATTACTCAAACATGTGAACAACGAATAATATCAATTCACAATATTTTAGGTGATAAATATTTAAATTTATTTTTAACCTATGCTAGGACAGTCATATCAATTCGTATTACTTGCTCTGCTTAACAGAACGTTCTCCCCCTTTCCCAATGTTTTAAAAAATAATTAAAAGGACATGCTCTAAAATCAGACCAATGCAAGTTTGATTCTGCCTCCTCCACATCCTGTCTCTGACTTTGGGCAAGTAATAATCTAACCTTAATTCCCTAATCCGAAAAATGGGAACAATACTTTACCTCATAATACTGTGGGGATTAAATGATCAATATAGTACCTAGCATAGTAATCACTCCCTAAATGCCAATAATTAGCAAAATATCAGCTAAAAAGAAATTAAAACTTACAAAAATATGAAGTTACTATAAAGACAATTTCACTCATTTTCTAAATAGACTTTAAAAGCATAAGAAAGTTATACAGACAACTGCAAGAACCTAAAAGAACAGAGTGCTAAAAAACTTCGAAGTAATCATCTGAATTTCTCCATGTGTCTAAGTGTCTATCCATGATAATAAATACATACACACATGCATAGACACAAAAAATAAAAACCTCAATTTTCATAATCAAAGAATGGTTAAAGTTAAGTTACCTAGAAACATAATCTGGCCAGGGTGGAGAGCAATAGCCATGTTATACTTATCTTTGTGTTCCCGGCCCTCACAAGAATGCCCAACATATAGCATGTACTCAACAGCTATCCGTAGCACTGAAGTGAAAGATATAGTACTACCCAATATTTCAATTTATTTCAAATGGTTAAACTTGATTTTCAATGAATTTAGTTTTCATATATACTAGCATAATACAAGTATAATCATACTCAATATTCATTCAGCAAATATTTATTGAGTTCAGGCTGCTACAGGAAGGTATTTTTTCTAGGAGCTTGGGATACATCAAAGTTAAAAACAAAAGCTCCCTGCACTTCTGGAGTTTATATTCTAACAGGTTCAGACAGAAATAAACATAATAAGGGAATCATAAAGTAAGATACAATATGGATGAGAGAATGAATAAGAGAAAAAGTAGGGCAGGATAAGGGAGATCAGGAATGCTCATTATCTGTAACCCAAAGTAACAACACCCAGAGGAAGAGTGGCTTGGAGTATATTTTATAGCAGTTCCTTTCACATTTTACAGAGGCTTAGAGTAAAAGCACTGAACAGTACTGCCTAGATTCAAACCCTGGCCTTGAATTAATTATTTACTACATCTGTGCTTGTTCCCTAATATATAAAATGAGAATAACAGTACCCAAAATTTATAGAGTTGTGAGAATTAAATGAGATAATGCGTGTAAAGTGCTGAAATTGTGCCTGATAAATAAGCTGTTCTTTTTAGTAGCCATCAAGTCAAATCTTACTTATGGCAACCCCATGTGTACAGGGTAGAACTGCTCCATAAGGTTTTCAAGGCTGCGACCTTTTGGAAGCAGACTGCCAGGCCTGTCTTTTGAGGAGCCTCTGGGTGAGTTCACACCACCATCCTTTTGGCTAGCAGCTGAGTGCTTAACTGTTTGTGCCACCGAGGGACTCTGAAACATAAGTACCTAATAAATATTCCCTAAACCCCTATGCTTGTGAATGGAGCCCTGACGGTGCAGTGGGTAAGTGATAAGGCTGCTAACCAAAAGGTCAGCAGTTTAAATCCACCAGCCGCTCCTTGGAAACCCTATGCGGCAGTTCTACTGTCCTCTAGGGTCGCTATAGGTCGGCATCGACTCAGTATCATTGGGTTTCGGTTTCTGATAAACTTCTAACACCTATCACAATATACTGTGGATTAAGCAACTGGAATGCAAACGATCTTGTCTCATCCACCTCTTTATTTTGATTGCTTCTGTCTGTGCTGATATAAAAACCAAAAACCAAACCCACTGCCATCGAGTCGATTTCTACACATAGCAACGCTATAGAACAGGGTCGAACTGCCCCACAGGGTTTCCAAGACTATAAATCTTTACAGAAGCAGTCTGCCACATCTTTCTCCCACAGAGTGGCTGGTAAATTCGAATTACCGACCTTTCAGTTAGCAGCCGAGCACTTTAACCACTGTGCCACTAGTGCTGATATATACCAGATATATTTGCTGCGTTTAAACCATGCAGTGGTTAGGAGCTCAGCTGCTAACCAAAAGGTTGGCAGTTTGAATCTACCAGCCGCTCTTTGGAAATCCTATGGGGCAGTTCTCTGTCCTATAGGGTCGCTATGAGTTGGAAGAGACTCAACGGCAATGGGTATGTTTTTTTTGTTTGGTTGGTTGGTTGGTTATTTACTGATTAATCAGGAAAGAAAGAATTATAATTATTATTCTGGGAAAAAATAGAGTGGGATGTGACTGATTAAAAACAGATATGTTACAACATGGAAAAGAAATCACATAAAAGCTATTTAACGATCCTTCAGAACCTTTCTCCAATCCCTGCCGTCATACCTCATTGACAATCCAAGATATAGACCCTTTTCCCAGAAAAATTCCATCATGAAAGTCCACACAAAATTTTGCATATTTAAAATTGACACATTTTTGAAACGCTTTTCGCATGTTATTTTTGGAACTCTGTTACATCACAAATATTTTTGTGTTTTCTTTTTGAGCCCTTCCCCAACTGCATTTGTAAACACCATTCTTAAATTTTCATTATCTCTAAAGTAAATAAGCATTATAATCTGAAGGAATAGCCCTCTTATTACTGTTGTTGTTGTTAGTGTCGTCGAGTAGTTTCTGACTCATAGCAACCTTATGTACAACAGAACAAAACACTGCCCGGTCCTGTGCCATGCTTACAATTGTTGTTATGCTTGAGCCCAATGTTGCAGTCACTGTGTCAATCCATCGTGTTGAGGGTTTTCCTCTTTTTCACGGACCTTCTAATTTACCAAGCATGATGTCCTTCTCCAGGGACTGATTCCTCCTGATAACACGTCCAAAGTATGTCAGACATAGTCTCACCATTCGTGCTTCTAAGGAGCATTCTGGCTGTACTTCTTCCAAGACAGATTTGTTCGTTCTTTTGGCAGTCCATAGTACACTCAATATTCTTCACCAACACCACAATTCAAAGGCATGAATTCTTCTTCAGTCTTCGTTATTAATCGTCCAGCTTTCGCATGCACATGAGGCGGCTGAAAACACCATGGCTTGGGTTAGGCACACCCTAGTCTTCAAGATGACACCTTTGCTTTTCAACACTTTTAAGAGGTCTTTTGCAGCAGATTTGCCTAATGTAATAAATACTTTGTTTGACTTCTTGACTGCTGCTTTCAGGGGTGTTGACTGTGGATCCAGGTAAAATGAAATCCTTGACAACTTTAATCTTTTCTCGGTTTATCATGATGTTGCTTATTGGTCCAGTTGTGAGGATTTTTGTTTTCTTTATGTTGAGGTGTAATCCATACTGAAGGCTGTGGTCTTTGATCTTCATCAGTAAGTGCTTCAAGTCCTCTTCACTTTCAGCAAGCAAGGTTGTATCACCTACATAACGCAGGTTGTTAATGAGTCTTCCTTCAATCCCGATGCCCCATTCTTCTTCACATAGTTCAGCTTCTCGCATTATCTGCTCAGCATACAGACTGAATAAGTTTGGTGAAAGGATACTACCCTGATGCACACCTTTCCTGACTTTAAACCACGCAGTATCACCTTGCTCTGTTTGAACGACTGCTTCTTGATTTATGCACAGGTTCCTCATGAGCACAATTAAGTGTTCTTGAATTCCCATTCTTCGCAATGTTATCCATAATTTGTTATGATACACGTAGTCAAATGCCTCTGCATAGTCAACAAAACACAGGTAAACATCTTTCTGGTATTCTCTGCTTTCAGCCAGGATCCACCTGACATCAGCAATGACATCCCTGTTTCCACGTCCTCTTCTAAATCCGGCTTGAACTTCTGACAGTTCCCTGTGGACATACTGCTGCAGCCACTTTTGAATGATCTTCAGCAAAATTTTACTTGCGTGTGATGTTAATGATGTTGTTCCATGATTTCCACATTCAGTTGGATCATCTTTCTTGGGAATAGGCATACATATGGATCTCTTCCAGTTAACTGCCAGGTAGCTGACTTCCAAATTTCTTGGCACTTCCAACACTGCATCCGTTTGTTGAAACATCTCAATTGGTGTTCCGTCAATTCCTGGGGCCTTGTTTTTCACCAATGCCTTCAGTGCAGCTTGACAGACGCATGGGGGCTCTTCTCACTAAGGCCAAATTATACTTCCAAGTAATAATCCAAATGTCATTTGAAAACTTCACATTCTCTAATACACTAGTAGTTCATGTGCCAAAAAAAAAAAAATCAAAAATATTTAGAAAGGAGAATGAAATAAACATGAGGCCTACTACATGCAATCTACTAACCTGAATGTTTTTTGACATGAGAAAATATTTTTAAAGTATTTAATTACAGCAAATCATCACTAATTAAACGTCTAATACAGAATAAATCAGATAATATCATAATGGTTTAGTTATTAACAAATCCTAAAAATGTAATTCTTTATGTAATAATTTACAGTTAAATAATGCTGTGAAAATACTTTCATATATACTTTCATTTGATTCATAAACCTGTAAGGTTTATACTTTTAAAGTGCACTGTCAAATATGGTAATCACCAGCCACTACATGGCTAGTTCATACTGAGTCGTTCAAGAAATATAAAACACACCCCGTATTTCAGGAAAAGAAATATGGGGAGAAGGTAAACTACTTCATCAATAATGTTTTATACTGAATATATGTTGAAATCATGTATTTTCCTTACCCCAATATATCCAAAATATTACTAAATTTCACCTTTCCCTTTTTATTTTTTATTTTTTAATGTGACTATGAGAACATTTTTAACTGCATATGTAGCTCACATTATATTTCTATTAGACAGCACTATTCTGGAGATGAGCCAATTACAACTGCGAGAAGTCATAGAAAGCTAAGATCCTGCAAAGTACAGAGACAATTCCAGATTATCTGACCAATTCCAGAACTGCCTCAATGAAGTAAATTGATATAAGAAGTGGGGAAAAGGTCTAATGTACATTAAATATACACTATACTAAATTTTCTTCTCATATTTGTTTTGTAAAATAGTTTTTATAATTATAATCAATGCTTATATGCTATTTTGATTTGTGCTTCAAAACATTATTTCAAATCTGCATTTTTCCCCCCCTTTTGGTTTAATTTTCTAGAGATGTACTCGCAAAGTAGATTATTAAGCTTTGTAACTGGTTACATGTTGCCAAAATGCTCCTCAAATTGAATCCATTTAGCCTGCCAAAAGAGTAACAACATGTAAGATGGTTATTTTAAACAAACTTTTTTAAGCATACTAAGCCTTTATGCCTGAATTTTCTTTAACATGATAAATTGTAGACTCATATAGAGTCATATATTTACTAGAAACATGTACCATCAATGAAACATACATGGAGTAGGCAATCAACAGACGCACCTGACAAGATGCTTAACATTCCATATTTGTGATTGTCTACAAAAGGGATTTAAGGGTCCCAATAAGGATTAAAGAGTTTATAAAAAGAAAGTTAAGTTACATCCAACAATTTGAAACAGTAACTCCACTAGGCAACATTGTTAGCCTGGTTTGTTGTTAGTTGCCACTAGGTGGACATATTTCAATATATTTAAAATTTATATTTGTTAGACTAACCCTCTTTCCAATTAGTCCAAATTAAAGTATGAATGAATCACAGACTTACTGGACACACAGCAGGCTCCCAATTTATGCTGGTTATTAAGGATGTTATGTTAACAAATTTTCGTACAATAAACTAAATGATGTGGTCTCTGGCGACAATGAGCTCAGGACAAATAAGGTCATTTACACATGAAATGAAGGGAGTAACAAGGGAGATTTCAATTAGCCTTTAAACTGCGAGGTTCTAATTATAAATTCAATTTGTAGAATATAAGGAATTTAGGGTAATTTTATGGGAAAGGAGCTATCTCGAGATTTAAAATATAACACTTCCATTTCCATTTGACACTCATTCCTAAAATTCTGATCTCTCAATAGATTTATTTTCACAGATTAAGGTAATTTTTCTAAACGGCTTCATCAAACATGTTCGATAAGAACTGTCTAATTAGTAACTAAAAAATGAATTCCTCATTTTACACAGCACTCACGTGAATCTACACACATTTAAACAGCAGGAAAAGTATTCTTCAGAGTGCAACCTGCTGCAGCAGGGCAGGAATTTTAATTAAAGCCTATGCACAACTTTGATCTTAGGAGAACACATTCCTAAATAAACTAAAAACTGTTTCTAAGAATGGGGGAAAAAGAAAAAAAAAACTACTCATGTAGACCCATGTAGAATATTATATATTTGAAAGACCAGCTTTAAGTATTTTCTAAAAATACGATAAATCAAAACCAAACCCATTGCCACTGAGTGGATTCCAACACATGGCTCCCTATGTGTTACTCTACTTTAATCAGGACTATATGGTTGCAGGGGACTGTAACAGGTTCAGTGGTAGAACTCTCACCTTCCATGCGGGAGTTGTTGTTGTTGTTGTATCCTGTGGAGTCTTTTCCGACTCATGGTGACCCCATGAGACAGAGCAGAATTGCCTCACAGAGTTTTCTTCGCTGTAACCTTTAAGGAAGCAGATTGCCAGTTTTGTTCCCATGAAGCCGCTGCGTGGGTTTGAACAAACCAACCTTTCGGTTAGCAATGAGATTCGCATTCAATTCCC